GTTTTTAATCTAAAGTGGAGCTCTGTCCCGAAACTGTAAGTTAACCACAATGTTAACCAGCATTGTTTCAGTGTTGGAACGGACTAGAATGGCTTTTTTACTGAGAAAAATAATCATATTTATTTAGAAACTGAAGGGGATCTTGAAGGTATTGACCTGAAGAGTCCTTAAATGTCCAGAATCCTTTTGACTTGAAAAAGAAACCTTCAGTAGCTTTCATTTAGAAAATATATAGCCATCTGCTCTTCGACTGCTTGTTTGGTGATGCATCTGTGGTAGTTTAGAAACAAAAAAGCAGTATCTGTTCCTGCAGTTTCAATTGTTTGTATTGTTTGTTTTGCACATGGTTTGATTTGACAGCTATATCTATTCTGAATGCTTGGCTGGGTTTCAAAAGCTACAGAGCCACGTAACTCAGCAGAGGGCCTGTTCACTTTTTCATTGACAGTTTAAGGGCTTATTAAAGGAAATACCACTGCATTTAATGAATAATTGTTTGTTTTTACAACAGATTAACCACTTGAGGGGATTTAAATTTTTACAAGTTTCTTGAAAGCAGAATTTTTCTCACTGCATAGATTGCTGGACTGAGAGCTCTTTTTGATTGTTGTCAAGAGGTGTAGTGAAGAGAACCATGGGGCTCTGTCATACCTTCGAGAAGCCAAACACAGAGCAAGTTTCTCATTTTCTGTTTGAACTGGATGAGGAGCACAGAGTGAATATGAAACAACAGAAACAGTCAGGTTTTGGAAGTATGCTGCAAAGATATAAATGCTTTCAGTATTTGCAGTCTTCTCATCTGTGCTCCTACTCAACTTTTCATGCCCCCACACAAATTAAGTTCCGTAAGAAGGTCAATTAATGGCCACTTAAGCAGCTCAACTTGACACCTCCTTCTTGCTGCCCTCCTAGTTGTCAAGAAAAATGACTAGCTTACTATCTGGGAAACAAGGAAGGATTGTACGAGCTGGACTATTTCATTGAGAGGCTCAACAACTTAATGCCTGCTCAATGCCTTAACAAGGGGGCATCATTTTAGGGTAAAAAGCAGGGGTTTTAGGAGGAATTTGAGGTAAAGTGTTTTCACCCAGAAGGTGGTGATAGTCTGGAGTCTACTGTCTGGGAGAGTAGATGAGACAGGAAACCTCACAACCTTTAAAAAGCACTTGTATGAGCACTTCAAGTGTCATAACATACAAGGTTATGGCGGGATAGTGGGACTAGTGTAGATTACTGTAGATTTATGATAGTTTTTGTCAGTGCAGACGCAATGAGCTGAAGGACATCTTCTGTATTGTACGATTATAAGATTCCGAAAGGGTAAAGGTCACCTCTCTTATTTGTACTTCACCAAAATGGCATCTGCTGCAGCCTGGAGAGCTGGTTGTCCAGCCCAGGAATACTAAACATACAAAGCCTAGATTGAGGTTGGTGGAGAGAGGACAGTGCAGGGCTAGATCCTTTTGCAACTGCTAATTTAACTTGGTGGATGTACTGTCAGGAACAAATTCTAACACTCTGGAAAACCGCCCCTAAACCTCTCCACTTTCTTCAAGATGCTCCATAAACCTACTGTTCACCTCCTCAAAGGTGCCATCTAAAGTCGGTTTATTAAGTTGCCTCTGTAAAGAAACAGCAGGTTGCTGAGAACAATACAAGTAATCATTCATTGTGCACACAAAAATTCCCAATATTTGAATCGTGCAGCATGCAAATGGAAATAGGAACAGTCACAAGAATTAAAACACACAATGATACAGTCTGGTGTCTCCCATGCAACAGATTCTGAGGTTAATGAGTTACATTGCACTAAAATGAATAGATTTGTCACATTTTACCATTCACTACAAGTGATGGAGTCAGAAAGTTGTATTTCAAAGTTGTTTTATGACATATAAGCAGCTAAAGTTTTAGTCATACAGTATGGAAACAGGCCCTTCAGTCTCTCATGACAACCAGATTTCCTTAACTGAACTAGTCCCATTTGCCTGCATTTGGCCCATATCCCTTCAAACCTTTCCTATTCATGTATGTGTCCAAATGTCTTTTAAATGTTGTAATTGTACCAGCCTCTACCACCTCCTCTGGCAGCTCGTTCGATATATACATCACCCACTGTGTGAAAAAATTGCCCCTCAGGTCGTTTTTAAATCTTTCCCCTCTCACCTTAAAACTACACCCTCTGGTTTTGGACTCCCCTACCCTAGGGGAAAGACCCTGGCTATTCACCTTATCTATGCCCTTCATGATTTTATAAACCTATATAAGGTCACTGAAATAACTCCACAGGGGCATCCTGTCACCAAGTCACCCTTTATTTACACACCGAGAGTCCTTGACACTGATGCAGCTCCCTCAGAGCCAGTTCTCAGAGTGAAAAGAACCACTGATACACCTGTTCTTGTCTGTCAGCCAGGGCTCCCTGATTGGACCAGGTTAACAGCCCCAGTCAGGGAACTCATATTCTATGAGGTCCACCTGGTTGACCTTGTTACAATCACTACAGTCACCCCTCAGCCTCCTATGCTCCAGGGAAAAAAGTCCCAGACCATCCAGCTTCTTCTTATAACTCAAACCTTCCAGTTTCGGTAACATCCTTGTCAATCATTTTGCACCCTTTCCAGTTTAACAACATCCTGCTACAGCAGAGCGACCAGAATTGTACGCAGTACTCCAAAAGTGGCCTTACCTCAATTTTACAATACTATACACCTCTCTGTGAAAACAGTGGTCCAGACCGATGGGTAAAAATGTCCATGAGGCTAACAGTGCTATCTGTTATTAATGTGTAATTGATATCGCAATTTTCTGCGACTAAAAAAGGGTAGTTAACTCTTTCAACTAGATTGTCATCCAAGATGACAAAAATTCCTGGATAACAGGTTTAGTGCAGTCAGATCTTTGTTGATGGGTCTGAACATGATGCGCTAACTGGCCTCCTCTTGTGCTGTAAATATCTACGAGTCTATGCAATGCCCTATTTCTCTAAATGATGTGGGAGAGACTCACCATTGAAAAACGGCTGATTGGCGCAAAGTCTCTCTACTTTCCTTAAATAAATACCCAATAATTTCCACTGCAATGTACAAGACCTTTTAATGTTGGTCAGTCAGTTCAGTTGGCTAGATGTCTCCTTAGTAATGCAAAGGGACGCCAACAGTGCGGGTTCAATTCCCATACAGGCTGAGGTCACCTACTCCCGCTCCTATTTCTTATGTCTGATAAACTGCCTTTTGTGGGCCGATTGGGAACATGGATAGCACATGAGCAGCATTTTCCAAATAACTACCACTGGTACCTTCTGGAATTTGCCACCTCGGCCAGTAAGTGTACTAAGTAGGGGTTGTTTGAGGATGTATGCTGCCAACAAACCTCTTTTGTCTTTGGTTTGTTTTGGGCCTATCTAGTGAATGGTGGTAAAGGATACATCACCATAGAGTAGCTGCAGAAGAGAGTCTGTTCTTAGATAGCCATAAGACCAGCAGATGGGGCAGCACGGTGGCTCAGTGGTTAGCACTGCTGCCTCACAGCACCAGGGACCTGGGTTTGATTGCACCCTCAGGTGACTGTCTGTGTGGAGTTTGCACATTCTCCCCATGTCTGCGTGAGTTTCCTCCGGGTACTCTGGTTTCCTCCCAGTCCAAAGACATGCAGGTTGGGAGGTTTGGCCATGCTAAATTGCCTGTAGTGTTCAGGAGTGCGTAGATTAGGTGGGTTACAGGGGGATGGATCTGAGTGGGATGCTCCAAGGGTCAGTGTGGACATGTAGGGCTGAAGGGCCTGTTTCCACACTGTGGGGATTCTATGATTCAGAAGATGGCCATTCAACCACCTTCTATACCATTCAATGAGATCATGGCTGATTTGATAATCCTCAACTTTACTTTCCTTCCTTTTCCCCATTACCCTTGATTCATTTTACTGATTAAAATTCTGTCTAACAAGAAACATGATAGCAATAAATACAGCTACATTTGTTCAGGTGTAATGACTAGGACATTTAGGGAGCTGGCCCAGGTCCACCTGCTCCGTCCAAAAGCCACAGTACAACTCCATGTCTCCGCCCAGAGACTGCGTGTCACATCAGGAGAATGGGTGGAACTAAATGCAACATGAACATTAAGACTTTCAGAACTGTTACCCTCTACAGCACGATGGCGCCTCCTGTTGGAACTGCCCCACTGCAGCCAAACACTCACAGCTGCTCTCAGTTATCCTGCGGAGGGGTTAACTTTATTCTGTTTCATACATCTTCAAGAGGACATCTCCTGGTGGAGTCATCATGTCCACGTGCTGCCTACCCTTTTGGCAACCTCTACCTGTGTCCACCTGTGACAATGGGGCTGCATCTTGTCAGAGCAACAACAGACTCTCTCCCCCCATGGAATGGGCCTGCAGCCTCAGAGAGCTGCCCACTCTCTCTAACCGAATGAACTAGGCAACCTCTGAGAGATTTCCCAGACTGGCACACTGCCAACAAAAGCAGGGCTTGCACCCAGAAATAGTCCCATCCTGCACTTGTAACCAAGAAGCAGAAAGATCTATGCTTGGTTCTTCTGAGTAAAACGTTCCTTGGTACCACCATTAACGTTGCATCGATTCTTCCATGAACCCAAACCTTGAATTGCTGTTGTCAATAGTTTTATCCCTTGCCTTCAGTGGCCTAGAAGGAAACTCGGCAATGAAGAATTAAGGGGAGGCAGGCGGACAGGAAGCTATACACACAAAAACCAGACTCAAGACACACGACTTACAGCCATTTTTGCAAAAGTGCCAGCATTCATGCTCATAAAAGCCAGTCGAGCAAAAGCCGCGGTCGCGTCGTATTCCAAAATATTCCGAAGTTCAAGCTACGTGCTTGCACAAAAAAGCAAAAAAGTGGTAAAAGAAAGATACTGAGATGCTAGCACAAAATGGAAATGGACTCGCACTGCCACATTTACGTGGTGCCTGGTGCCAGCAACACAAAAAGCAATTACTTATGAGGGAGGTACCAATACCTGAATCCCTTCTTAGGCAGGGTATTCCTATCAAGCTGCGGGTCACTGTAGGAAAGTGAGAAGACAGCTAAGAAAAGTACCAGGTTGAAGGTTAACAGACAGCAAGGTATGTATTAAAAAAATGTGGAGACAACATGTAAACTCTTAAATGTCAACATACAACCAAAACTGAAATCCCCGCCAATGAGATTTGTTAGATGGTGTCAGAAAACAAAATGGCAGTTCTTAACTAAATACATGGAGACAAAGTTAATGACATGAAAAAAAATTGTCAAAACTTTCTTTGTGACTAGCAGATCTGTGATAGTGCAAATACAAAGATTGTACTTTAAACTGGTCCTGAGTCTCACAAATTTAAAATCTACAGACTATGAGGAGGCTTCTACTGACTGCATATTGGAAATTAATACATTCCAACAATTTTCTTTTGTTTGCAAGGTGAGATATAGAACTAACTTCAGGTAATGCTGGAAATATTCAGCAGGTCTGCCAGCATCTGACCTCATTCCCTTTCTCTCCCCACAGATGATCCCAGACTTGCCAAATATTTCCAGCAGCATTTTCTGTTTTTAGTTCAGATTTCTGGCACCTTGCTTCTTTGAATTATCTTCCATTATTACTAAAAGAAACTGCAGAGAACAAATGTTCTGTTCAATTATGGGTTTGTTGGCTGATACAAGTCACTGGATTTGCATTGTGTAATTCACTGGTGGCGTTTTGCACTCAGTGTTATCACTTTATTATGTAGGAGTAAACATTCAAACAGCACTCTGTACATCTATTAATCCAATTGATATTTTGAAGTAAGGTAATAATCAAGGTGCTCTTTCATATGAGCTGCATTATGGAGTCGCCTCTTGTATAATGAAAGAAATATTTTCCCTGCAATATTTAACGTGTACATTTTCAATTCAGAAATAAGGTAAGTATGAGTTTCAAGACAAGATATTTTGATATGACTGAGAGTCAGGCCTTCTGGATTTCATTTTTCAGTTAGTAACCCCACATAGTTTATAGAGCATTGCACCAAACAGTTCTTAGTCACAATCAGGTGTTAAACGGTGTCAAGTTCAAACACAGAGCAACAAATCTTCAGCAAGCATCTGACTGCACTGAGGAAACCATCCCCTGGTTTTTTTTAGGAGATTCACATATTGGTGTATTTCTCTATGGAGACACAGTATTGATTTGTTCAAAACACTAACCCAATACATTTATAGATGTTATCCCCGAATCACTTGGACGTGCTTCAAGTTTAAAAGATGAATTGATGTTATATAAGAGATAGTAGGAACTGCCGATGCTGGATAATCTGAGATAACAAGGTGTAGAGTTGGATGAACGCAGCAGGCCAAGCAGCATCAGAGGAGCAGGAAAGCTGACGTTTCGAGTCTAGATCCTTCTT